GTGGGTTAAGTGGTGGATTAACCAATAGGCATTACTAGACTTAGGGTGAACGACGACATCATTGTTTTTTTTTAAATAATAATTAACGAGTCAAACACTTTATTTTTATAAACATGTAATAATTTTTAAAACATTTTGAGCTCATAAATACAACTATAGATTTCAATGGCAGCATATAACGAAAACGAAAAGTGATTACATTTTAATTCGTGAAAAGTCTATATTTCTTTTGTTATTGAACACAAATTTGTTTACACGTTTTCCGAGACCTCAAAAATACAATAAAATAAAGCGTCAAATATTTTAAAAATATGCTAATGAAGAAATTCAGAATGATTGATTGTTAGTGATTCCGGGCACGTCAAGTAGTAAGATCATTAGTTCCGAAAGTGTAGTCCATGTTTTGGTCGGGAGGTGACGGTGGTCTATGGCGTGAACCACCGCCGACCTTCCGTCGGCTCGCAAAGTTTTCCCAAACAGGTATCTCCCACCAGCGGGGCACCGTCCCAGCCGGGACAAGTTCTAAGTTCCCGATCAGACTCCAGGCACGTGGACGTGTGGAGTATAGTAGTGTAAGTGTGTGTAAGGGGTGAGCATAAGTTCGCGCGCGGTCCGTGATCCGTTTGTTAGGGTCCTGCTCCGGCATTCGGTTGGTATTCATCGGAGAAACCACAGAAAGTTACCGATCAGAGTTGCCGGCCGCTATATATAGACCGGCCGCTATAGATTTATCCTTCAGACAGCGACTGAATTCGACATAGCTGACAAGCTAGTGTCTAAAATCCTGTCACCGTCGGGACTCGAACCTAGGACCTCCCAGTCAGAGGGACTGATTGAGCATTGATGCCCTGAGCCATCTTTTCCGGTAAATTCAGAATGCATACCCTAATAACACATAGATACCTTAATAACACACGCAGGGTGAAATAGAAGGGTGCATCTATTATCGTGAGGTAACAAGTTCAGTGAACTGCAATGTTGGAGAAAGTTTTTCTGAATCTCGTTTTGTATCGTTAATTGCAAACATTATTTTAAATATTAATACATTTTTATATAGAGGAAACGGCCGATGAAAAGGGGGGCAATTGCAATTTGTTTTTTATTTGCAATCGCCTAGGGCCCCGTATTAATCCGCCACTGTTGGTCGGTTTCAAAATTGTAACATCCAAGAATTCAAGGTAAAACAAGTACGCTTTCAAAATGTCATCATATCCAAGGTTGAATTTTATCTCCACGAGTCCCTATGTACATCGAGAACTTACCGGTTTTTTTTAGATAGACCGACAGACCGAGAGACCATCAAAATGTGTTTTGCTGACGAAAAGTATGAACTTTTTCCTGCAGAATTACATAACGTTCCCTAGATGCGAGAAAGTAAAAAGGAATGCGCGGCTGCTTACCTTACAAAATACCCCCTCTACTTCGACCGTGACCCAACGTGTGCGCTTCGGTGTAGGACCCATCAATAGACAATGAGCGAACACCAAACGAGCTCATACTCGCTCGTCCAGTGTGTACGCAGATGGCGCATAAAAGAATCCAACGCGAAAACAATTGAAAGATTTAACTAACGGTACCAGGGGAGGCTTGTAGGGTAGTGCCACTGTGCCATGGTTCCATCAACAAAAAGGAAGGAAAAGAAAATGTTCACCACAAATATGCGTATAAAACATAATTTCTTCATTTTTTTCTTTATTGTAATTCATTTGAATGGGCGCTTAGTCCTTCGATGATTAATCAATACTCTCTTCAAACGACCAAGTAAGTAAAAAATGAATCTTTCACAATTGTAGTTGTAGTAAGAAACCAATTTTCTTTATTTTTTTAAAAATTTTCGCAAAATCATACATTTCAATGACCGTGAGACCTGCATCATTCTCTTAAGCGCTCTTTATGCTATCAAAACTCCCAATTTAATCAAAAAAATGTGTGCGGTTTAAAAAAGTGGTTTAAAGAAAAAAATTTTTTTTTCAGTTTTCGAAAAATCAGAGTTTTCAACCAACATGACATCTGGACAATTCTCTTAAATGTCCTTTAGATTATCCAACAACAAAATTTAATCAAAATCGATGGCGCCTTTGAAAATTTTGAAAATTCCCTTAGAAGCTTCTTGTAAAGAACCCCCCAAAGTTAAAATATCAATTTCATATTCAAGGGGTCACGGCATCAGCTATATCAATCACGAAATATCAATTTTGGAGATAATTGTCTGAACAATTTAGCAACTAGCATTGTTCACAGACGGACAGACTGACAGACGTTATGTCGGCAAATTACTTTTCTGTATCAAGGCCCCCCAAAACATGGATTCTGGCTACACCACATGCTACAGTTTTTTGTCTAAATTTAGCAACTGTATTTATTCACTTTCTTCGATACCAGGGCCCTGTAATAACAATTTTTCTGTCGAAAATTCGCCGTTTTTTCTCGCAGCATTACATAGTTTTCTCTTCGTTCGCGCGACAAAGTAAAAATGTATTGGGCCATTAATTAAAGAACTGATTGTGGTGAAGAAATTTCATTTGAAGAGACAAACAATATCTTCAATATTGTAGTTGTAGGAAAACGCCAAAAATATTTCACACTTCGGCAATTTTCGAAAATTCAAAGTAAACAGTGAAAATCTATATATGCCATCTATATAAGTGTATTTCTCTCTATTGTTACACTAAATTTAAAGAGGAAAGTTCTTATTAATCGTCCTTATTAATCTTGGCGAGGCTCCATGTAAAGTACCCGTTCGTCGAACGGATTAGGAGCAAGCGTTCACCACACACGGACGAATGGATTCATAGACGTTTTGCGTCAGTCGATTTTTCGTCACACCCACAAAACAAGGATTCTCGCTGCACTGCGTGTTATAGAGGAAGTGATTATCTACATAAAGAAACAAGATTTATTCACCTTTTCGTTACCAAGTTCCGACAACACGAGATTTTTGTTGAATAATCGCCGATTTCCGGCACACACAATAATTTCCCTTTATTACTTAAGTAGTAAGGCAATATAACGTGTGTGTTATTTTCAATATTTTGATACTACCGGCGCCCACCAGATTCGACCATTCGTTACATCGCCATTTCTTACGTAGTGAAGAGAAAGTATTGCAATGCTTCAGTGGAAAGCTGCGATTTTTCGCTAAAAACCAAATACTATAATTCTCTGATTTTGAGAGTGGGTAAATCTGGTTCCTGTATGAAGTATTACTTATTACTTACTGCACCAAATTGTGTGGTCAGAATCCGCGTTTTTGATACCGATGGTTTTCGGCAAAACGTCTTGTCTGTCCGTCTGTGGTCAACCCAACCGCCTAAACCGTTCACAAGAAATCATGAAAAAATCATGATTTTCTCCAAACTTGATATACTCCGATCATGTGGCCACACTCAACGCCCTACGATTTTGAAATATATTTTGATTTTGGGGGATACTTTACATCAAGCGATCTCTTTGAGAACATTTTTAAAATTGTCTCAATAATGGTCGAATTATTTTTATTAATTTTTCCCCGGGTTGGTGAAATGTAAAATTAAAATCTGACCCGACCAGTGACTTTAAGGGTCGGAATAAGGGTCTGAAATATCTGAAGATCAAAATTTGAAACATCTTATGATTTTTCTTTTTTCTTTCTTTTGTGCACAAGTAAAATAAAGAAGATTTTACATAAGCGCAATTTTCCTTTTTCGACGCGACGCCACCCTCTCCAAAAAAGGCCCATAGTTTCGTTTGTTACATTTTTTATTTCGCAAAATTGATTAAAATGTTGTTACAATTGTGTAATTAATATAAATACATAATATAGAGCACTATCATACATACACTACAAAAATAATGTAGTATATACAATAAAAATATTTATTATAAAACAAAAATATATGTTTGCTCTCTCCAAAATGATCAGCTGGATCTGCCCAGGAGTATAGTTGACGGCAAGAATCTATTTTCCTTTATGTGTAAATTTTCTCAGCAGAACTTAGGCAGACAATTCAAAAGATAATATTTGAGAATAATAAAAATGTTAACATTAGATCTGAACATTAGTCACTGACGCACTGACATGCAGTTTTTTTTTCTCTTAGAAAGGCGCGAACGTTGTTTCTGTATCGCCAGGTAGATAAACCAGTGATTCACTCATCAACGTGTCACAACAGAAAACATTCTCTCGAGACCATGGCAGTGGAAGCCTATTGCTTCAACCAAGCCTCGAAACTGCCACAGGCAAGATGACCCTGAACCTGAACTTAACTACACGTATCCTTTTTGGGGTTACGAGATCACGTGTCGCGACATTAAGTTCGCTTTTTAACGCTACAGCATCATTTTCTATTGAAATATTGCTTCAAACGGTAAAACGTAGGTACGCAAAAACTTAAATTGAAAACATTTAAACAAGTTGTGTAAGTATTTTTTAATTGTTCAATTTACCAAAAAAATGTCATTAAAAGATCATGTTGAAAGAACGCAGTTAAGCGAGGACCTACCTTATACACGACGTCCTTGTACACTGCGAACAAGCTACTGAACACGAACGTGGTCGCGGTGGTAGCTTGAAGCTCGCGGGATGACTGCGGGGGATGAGAGCGTGCGAGCGGGCTCGCTCCGCCAGCCGTCGACCGGCCGGCAGATTTCCGTTCGTGGATCGTTATTCTACTCGGCGCGCTCAATGTGGTCAACGCGACGAGTAATGGCTACCTTTGTTTAAGTCCTTTATAAGTTACTTTTAATTCTGTGGGTCAGATTCACAATTCTAAGGTCAACTACAGAAGTTGACAAGAAGCTTAACTGATCTTGGGAAGTAATTTCCTAAAATTCTATGATTGTGAGAAGAGTGAATCGAAAAAAAGTAATAAAATAAGCTCACTCCCACTTCTATTCTTCGTAGTCAGGATGAAATGTTGATTCCAAAATGCATTTTACCAATTCCTTAAATTTTATTAGTACTAAGGAAATTTTAAAGTGTACTTGATTAGGGAAAATAAATGTGGAGTTGAACACAAATCAACTTTTATAATTTGCTTTGTATATTTTGTGAAAAATATTATAGAATAATGTACAAATATGGAATGCTTCTGAACTATGTACACATTCATACACAATTTTTACATAAGCTTTATAAGAAAGCAATGTACAAGCATTACAGATTTGATACACATTACTGTGTTTTCTCAGATATTTAAAAATTTATTACAATGAGCTTCATCTAAAAGGAGATGTAAGAACATCCATTTAAAACTGCATGAAGCAACACAGTTCACTAGATATGTGAAGATTTTTTCAACATCTACTTTCATACTGATTATTGCAAAATGTAGTACTATGCTGACATGTACTATCTAGTCACAAATTTATACGACAAAAATAGATTTTCAAGATAAAAATATTTCAATAAAATGGCCTCTTCAACTAAATGGTCCTTCATAAGTTATACACACAGTCCAAAAGGTAAAAGTTGTCACTTCATAAAATCTCCATATTATTATTATTTCACTGGTACACACTAAAATTCAGATAATAATGATACAACTGCTTCATTTATTCCCTTCTTTATAAAAAGGAAAAGCTGCAGATTTAATAAAGTGACTTCTTTCGTTTTTTGAAGTGTGTTAATTATTTGAACATTCTATCTCTTGTCATTCCACTCGTGCTCTTAAAACAAATAATTAATTCAATGGCAAAAATTATTTGCGCACTTATTTTATTGCTGTTTTGGTTTAATTCTTATTATTGTTATTAAAGAACATGCAACTCAAAACATGCCCTAATGTACATTAGTTATCAGAAAAACCTGGTTTCTGATTATATTTCATATCAAACACTATCATACATATGTACACACTGAATAGACTATTGTTCATATACAAAATATTTACAAAACCTTAAATAAAAATGCAATGATTTTCTGCTGTTATCACAAACAAATAAAATGTAAGTCTATTTTCAATGTCTTTGCTACCACAAGCAGTACGCAGAAACCGCACTGCAACTCTTAATGCTAATAGGAAAAAAATTTCATTCATAACAATTACACATCACTCATCCACAAAAAGTTATCTTGCAGCTTTCAATAACAGTTTAACAAGATATTAGCACCAGTTGATGATTCATTGGTTTTATGATTTTCCTTTGCAGATATTTAATGGGAAGCACAGAATTCAGTGCACCACATTCACTCTTCAAAGTCTTCAACTCTCTTACATCAGATCGCTTTAATGGCAGCTTCTTAATATTATTTTTGCAAGTTTGTACTTTTAGGAGACATTGAGCATTAGAACTGGGGAGGTCCGTTTACACCAGGGTGTAAGAAGGGACATTTCTCCTGCATTCTACAATAACCTCCCCGAAAATGTTTACAAACAGTTCTACTACTCCAACCACGACCTGGAAGCAAACAAACATGAAATTAATTGCTGACACTTTCCCACACTTATCAGTACAACAGAATAAATTACATTCAGCACATAGAATCATTAACTAACAATATAATTAAAAGCGACTTACCCCGACCACTACTTCCACTACCACCTTGCCACCTGCCTCCACCTTGCTGGTTACCAAACCACTGACCTCTTCCTCCCCGTCCTCCACGTCCCCTCATATTGCCCATATTGGGACCAGGACCAGGACCAGGACCTCGACTATTCTGGTATCCATACATGTTGGGGGGTCCACCCATTGGATAATTCTGAGGGGGAAAGGGTCCACCAGGTCCACCCATGTCATCACCAGCCCCCATCATATTGTAATTCATGTCTCCTGGCATGTTAGACGGCATTCCCATATTCATCCCCATGTTCATACTCATATTCATACCCATGTTCATGTTTATATTCATATTCATATTCATGCCCATACCACCCACAGGCATGCCACCCTGGTTGTACATCTCCATTGGTGCCCCAGCCATCTCACCCATTGCCACTACTTTGCCATCTCCAGTCTGTAATGAAGATACAATGATTAGTTATCTTTTAATTTCCCAAAACAAGGTATCACTAAAAAAAAGGGAAGTACAGAATACAATGCCCTATTCACTTAATATTATCAAATTAATTATCACAAACAACAAAATCAACAATGAGTTACGTACCCTCCAATCTCCACTGCCACCTCCCACAGGAGTAGTCATCATTACACCCATAGCATTTGCCACATTGGGCACTCCTGGTTGATTGGGAAACATTGGTGAAGGGCTGAAGGATTGATGTCCAAACGTTCCAAACTGAGAGGATGGAGACACAATCTGCTGTTGTGACTGAGGCGACTGCTGGGGAGGTTGCTGCTGTTGAGGCAGAGGATACTGGGGAGGTGGAGACTGTGGTATTATCATGGGCTTGGGTTCAGGCCATGGTGTAGATGTGAAGTCATTCACACTGTCTGTGTTACCTGTTACATCATCCAAAGGAATGATAACAGGGTCAGTAGTGGCATGTATTTCCATGTCAGGTTCTCCAGGAAAATCAGGAATCCTTTAAGTCAAAAAAGAAGAAAATATAACAACAGATTAACAACTTCAATTCAAAGTAAACAGTAATTAGGTATATTAAAAAGTGGTTAAACTTACATAGATCGATCAAAATAAATAGCCTGAAGAACTACTTTTTCTCTAGCATATTGAACATCCTTCTCTCTACTATTCTTCCCAGGTTCCACAAGAGGAGGGTTACAATCAATTGGTATTAATGGCAACCATGAACTGTCTTCTTCAGCATTATCATCTTGAGCTTTAAAGATAAAATTCAAAATTATAAATGAAACATTTCCGGTGCATTAAAATGCAAAGAATTTAAAAGTCAAGTTGCTAATTCACAGCAGCAACAATAATTGATAATAAATTACTGATGTCTATGCAATATTTTTTTTAACACTTACGCATTTTTCTGGACATCAAAGCTTCCCTCTCATGGGATCTCTCTATTTGCTTCATGTCCATGAAATTTTTAGTAACATTCACTGAAATTTAAAATAATAAATATTAAAAAATTAAAAAGACAATTACACTTAACATTTCATTCACATAAGAGATCTCACCTCTCTCAGTTTCATCCAATTCGAAATATTTTATAGTCTCCAGATCTTTTTCTGGTTTCCATCTGACAAGTTTCTTGGGTCCTTTTCTACTCTTGTGATACACAAGAACTCCTTTTGGATGACCACTTGGTCTCTCTTCAGTGGAATCATTTTCAGTAGAAATATTATCTGATGCCTCTTCTTGTGCAACTTTTCTTTTCTTGCTGTCAGAGTCTCCCGAGTCCCCAGAATCATCCTCACCCTCTGGGGTAGGAGTTGCTGCAAAAGGCAATGTTTCATTTACTTATTATTCATATAATGCAATTTGCAAGATAAACCGTGATTGACAAAAATATAACACTGCTTACATCTTCCTTCTGGTTCCTCTTTTGATATGGAATTTTCAATTTCTTCTTTTTTCTCTGAGTCTTTGCTATCTTCTGATTCCTTTTCATCTTCAGCTTCCATTGTATCTTGATAAAACTAGAACAAATACATATAATAAAAACATGCTTCAAAAAAACTTCATTGTATTGAAAATGTGCTTTGAACGACTAATTATATAATTCAAAACATACTTTGAGGGCAGGCTTCATTATAGGTGGTGATTTAATTTCATCTGACACAGGAGAAGAAGGTGGTGTTGTTTCATCTTTACTTCCCGATTCCTTTTTATCAGATGAATCTTTACTACTGCTAATGCGACGCTTTCTTTTCCGAGGTTCTTTCTTTGAGGATGCTGTGAGAGCATCCATAAACATATCACTCTCTTGCAAGAAAGGAGCTGAAACAAGCAAGTGAAATTTGAAATTTAAATCTTTGCACTGAACAATTTAATACAAAATAGAATTTACAAAATGTTTTCATGAAAAATAATATTTCTACAAATTTATTCAGTCTGCATTCATCTGCTTACAGTATCCCTAATGTCTGGAAACTTATCTTAAATATTATTCTGAAAAAGGGGAGAAAGTCATAAGTATAAATAAATTCTGGTCCTGCAAATTTCCCTCATGGCAGCTGTAAGCTCTTTAAAATAAAGAGCAGAAAGATTTGAGCAAAAAGGCAGATAAAGTTCACTCTCAGAAATGTGCTATGCCATAACTAGTCTCACAGGAGGCAAAAAGGTTATTATAAAATCCTCTGCCATTTTATCATCATTTGCTTTTCTATCTACGTAGTTCTAATTATAAATACTTTGTAGCAACTACAAAGTAGATGCTACAATGTTGTAGAGTATTTTTAAAACCATTAGTGATTCATTATAGTTCTGCTGAATTATTAAATAGGGATTAGGAGCAAGGTAAATAATACAAATAATTGGTAGTTTATTATCTCTTTATTAAAATCTCTTTATTGTACATATGCAATACAACTTTATTTTGCAATATTCTTTCAAGTAAACAATTTAAAACATTCTTTCACAAAGAGTAAGAAAGTTGGGAAATTAGGTAGGAAATATATGCAAGATATGGCGAAACAAAGGGTATCAGGTGGCCAGGTATGGTTCATCCGAAATAATTAAATCCAATTCTTGTATCTACTCAAGAACGCGAGTCCAGGTCAAGGGCGCTCCACCTGGGCGGAGTCAGGGACTTCGATCGATAAACACGAGCTGCGGCGCGCTACACGTTTCAGGGAAATGTAGGCATGATGGGCGAACTATTTTTTGTCGTGACCTTCGCCTTACCCCACTTCCAGCTTTCGTAGAGAACCATGACCTCATTATAACCCGAAAGCAAGAGGCCAGTGGAATGCGCAACGTGTCAACAAACTGCATGCGCACGAGTCAAGTTTCGTAAAATCTGGCTCGTTAGTTAAAATCATATTCCTCTTAACTGCTACTGTCCAACCATAACGAATAGACGTATCTTCGATCATGATGATGCAATAATGGTCGCGTGGCCATTTACTACAATCAAATTAACTCATTTAGAAATTATTCGAGGAAAAATTAACACAAGATATTAATGTGCCTAAAGTATGTGCCCGCTAACGTTCGAAAGTTCCAATTTAAGAGTGTCAATGTTCATTTCGTAACGTTTGCTTCCCATCATTTTATTGAAAATCCTCGTGCACCCAGAAACAGAATTCTACACCTCCACAACATCGTTATAACGTAAATCACAACTAAATTTACAATGTGGGATTTGGAGAGCCATTTCAAAGAAAAGAAAAACACTAACTAAACTGATAAGTAATGTACGACGATCACAAATCTATTACGTACTAAACCCATTAACGACTATTGATAGTTTAAAAATATTCTTCAGTAATTTCTAAGATGTTCTCAAATATTCGCATTTCCCCAGCATTTTTTAAGGAGGGGGAGGTGGAGGTTTCTCGAACGGAGCGTAAATTTCGTGATGACTAATATAAGTTTTGTAAAAGCTCTGTACATACTACGTAAACTAAATGAATCACGTGTTGATTTATGCTGAATTTCAATAGTAATTACGAGCAATACACTCAAGTGCTTTGTAATCGACACATCTCCTTACTTTAATTTTTCTAAATTAAAATGTAGATCTCCTCTGCATCTACAACGCATCAATCGGAACCCCCGACGTGAGGTATCAATTATGGTAATCGACTACGCAATTTGAAAGGGATGTAGGTAGTCAGTGTGCACCCCCTCCACTTTTAAAAGTATATTCTGCGAAACTAGTTGCCTGATATGCCAGCTTATGCAATTGGTGGATCAGATTTCCGACTTCGGAGCCCTAAATAAACGAATGTAAAATCGTTCAATGCAAGATGAAGCTTTAAAAGCTTCACCTATCAAAATGACTAGTGTTCTTTCTTGTTACTTCCACATTTATAAACAATAAGCTTCTCTTTAGTAAAGCATCGTCCTAAAATGCATTCTCTTGTGACAAGCATTTCCCCGTGATTCACACTGATTAAATTCGAATTAAAAAGTGTATGTTGAATATTAATGAGTGGACATTTATATTCGTACTTTTTAAGCTAGTAGGTCGATTTCACGTAATTACATACGTATACACAAAATTAAACTTGATGCGGGTAAAAGCAAATTTACCCCAAGTTTTGCATTCATTCGTGTTTTTGTTTTTCTGCACTTTGAAAATCGAAAGTATACTTTCACTGTAGTGAAAAATATCTACTATGGTATGGTATTTGTAATGTAAAAGGAAACCTAAAAAAATATTTTTTTGCATTTTCTTGTTTAACTATTATATTGACGTGCTTTTCATTTGAGATTTTCGATCCGATCATGACTCGATAGCAAAATCTATTTTGAAAATACATTCCCATAATTTATAACCTCTGGTACTGGGCTGCGATTCAGAGACTAAGTTCCTAGCAGACCAGTCTATCGAAGCCCGGACAACGCTGACTACGTATGTTAGAAAAAATGACAAAAATAAACGGGAGGCCTTGCGCTAACTTGCATTTTAAGATAACTCATGGCCATCTGAGTCTCCAAATATTTTGTTGACACCGTGTCGGCACGCGTCGAATTTGAGGAGTTCGAACGTCAGAAAACCAACAATCCTAGTTTCCAAGAAACAAATATATTTAACTACAAATAAATATTAATTCAAGGTACATTAAACGAATATTAAACTTAAACACGGACCTTTTCGTTTAATTTTTACAAAACCCTATGATTAACTTGATTCAGAGCTTGGGGTGCAGCGCCTCATTTGTTCAATAAGCACGAATCTTTACCAAACATTCCGTTATTTGAATCCCCAAATCTCATGGATACGACTTATCCATGTGAAAGAACGCAGGAATATTATTCCTGGGATTTCTCTACTTCATTCTACATACAAGTACAATTTGCTTGTTTTCTGATAGTTGAAAAAATCGACTCATTCAAATATTAGCACATTTACGCGTTTCCACATCTTACTTGCTAGTTAGCGTATAGTCAATGATCAACTCAAAGAGTAGTTCATTCATTTGGTTTTCGTATTTGAATTTAATCGTTCATAATAAACAATGACACTGGGAGTTCCCAGCGTTTCGATTGCATTCTGTATAAAGTGTTCAAATATTTTATCTTAAATTCCCTGAAAATATGTACGAGTACTTGGAGGTCATTAAACAATTTCCTCACTAAGTGGCCATTCTTCTTAATAATTCAGATACAGAATCACGACGATGTATTGGTCTAATATTGTGTAACAGTTAAATTCGTTAAGTTTGTTTCTGTTATTTGCATTCGCAAAACCTTGTGCTATACGTTACATTCTTGTACAGTTTGTAAAGTAATCATAATGAATATATTCATTATACATTCAGCAAATTATGTACCATTATTTCTGCTAGTGTGCAAATCTCATTTAACTGCTTGAAACCTCACACTAAGCTAGACGTAACCACTATCAAATTATTGAACGAAGGGAGATTCAGTAATGATAACCAGATGTCGAGGAGCTCCCGACAAAAGGGTAAAGGGGACTCATTCCTCTCGGTGTTGACGCCCCAAACATCGTATTTTATAAACCTCAATAGGTGCAGGGGCGCCACACACTACTTATGAGACTACGAAAAAAGCAAAAAAATCAAAATGTTCTCCCAATGACGTTGATGCCATGTGATTAGTTCGAGTACGGGTGCTGTAAGTTTTAAGAAAAAAATTGGAGCCGTTGAAAATTCCGCTCCTGAAGTTTTTAGTCACTTCACTAAAAACTGATAAATTACACATACTTGAAAAATTGTATATGGCATTATTGAAAGACTAATTATAAAGCGCTCATTTAATTAGGAAAAAATTAGCTCTAGTTTGATGGAGGCCAAAAAAGTGGAATCTTAAATTTTTTCGAAATTACAGATTTATCAAAATCAGACCTACCATTTTATAAGCTTACGTTGCTCTATTCGATCAGAAATGTCGAGTAACTAGTGTTGCTACAACGGCACATACTTTCTCGCACGACTTAATGGCTACTGATTATACATTAACCTGCGAAACTTATTCCTACGAACACTTTTCTTGGCGCTATGATTCGAACTCTGGTCCAGGCAGTTAACTAGCACTGCGCTTTACCGCTACACCGCGTAGCCACACTGATTGACATTTGAAAATCTAGTAGTCTCTCCCACTATTCCTAACTCCTGTAATTTTCTAAAATTGCATGAAAGTCGAACGAAAATGAGACGTGCGCAATTTTTTAAGCGTCTTTTGTTCTATCTTTGAGGCGAATGTGGCCGATTTTGAGAAAGTTTTAAAAATAAATTATATTAACTCCCAAGCAGAAATCTACGGAAACTAGCCGTGTTTCATACAAAACAAAAAAAATTCAGATCTAATATATTATTTGTACTAATTTATTTCAAGACAATGTTAATATTTTGCAAATTCTGGGAATTTAGAGTTCGCTGCTAAAAGGACTAGCGAGACGAAATTTTGAAGAAATTTGCATGCCGTTAAGAAAATGGTTTTAAAATTGCCTATTTCACGCTAAGTTACAAGAAAACCATTTTCGAAAAATTGTTATTCGTATTTCAAAAGATGGTAGAACAGATTTCATTCAAACAGGGCTATCTCGAAAACTGGTGGGAAGACGTCGACAGAAGATAAACTTTTGAACATATAGGGGATTCTGAGCAACGAACATGCGGCCTACGGCATTTCTTATGCGTCTTTTGCGATGAAATAATTTGCGTGATTTTTGAGAAATTTTCGAAAATTTTTAGGCTTCATGAAAATTACCTCCCAAAATTATAATATCCGTTTCAAACTCACAGTTTTCATTGATTCCGTCTACGTGTTAGATGACGTAATTTACCAATTACGTACCAAGGCGA